GTGGGAGCGACTGCAGGCCGGAACCGTGACGCAGAGCTCTCCACGACCTACCCTTGACTTCTATTGACTTTCCAGAAAAGTTGCTGTTATCTGCGCGATTTGATCTTTGCAGGGAATTTCCCGGTTTTGTAACGGGTGGCCTCAGAGCTGCTGACACTGCTGCTCTGGTGCCCCGTCCCGGGGAGCGAGCACCCAGCAGAGCAGGACTTGGGCAGCCCCATCCGCCCGAAGTTCAGGCTGCCAGAGGGGCTGAGCCCTGCTGAGGACATCCTGGGTTACTGAGCTCATCTCACAATAACAACTAACGTGTGTCACACCAAACGAAGACCGACATTGTTCCTTGCACAAGCCAGAGGGTTCTTTGCTATCAATTTCAAGGGCTGCAGGATTCAGTTGTTAAAAAGGTCTGATGAACCAGCCCGTGAGCTAGAATCAACGGGGTTGCGTGGGGAGAGAGAGGGAACACAGGCAAGTTTATGGGAGCACATCAGCAAGCGAAACTGCTGCATATCGCTCAGAGTTGGCTGGCGGTGAGCTGTCCGAGACAGGCAGAATGATGATCCAACTCAAACAATTCTTCTGCACTACTGGAGGGGGACGGGACCAGTTAATCTCACTAATCCCTGCAAGTGTCAGCACTTCCTCATTTCTGCAGAAGAGGAGAACTATTCCGGGTATCTCAGCCCGGCTGGCAATTGTCAGCTAAAGGTGGAAGCCTCACCAGAAACTTGGTCTGCAAGACTTCCTCTTGATTTGCAAACTAAGGCTATCTGAAAAGAAGAATTAAATATCTGAATGACTGGCTGCTTGGTAGAACCAAATCTCAGACTTGGTCTTCAGGCAAGAAAATATTGAGTGCGCTGTATCAGCCAATGCAGATCTTCTCCAGTTCCTGCGCAGAATGGATGTCAGGGGTACCTGACGAGGAGGCACTCACCCTCCACTTCCAGCGCTGGTCCTCATTCACGGTCTTCCAGCAAGTCACGGAATGTTACACTTTTAAAACTAGTTTCTGCCTTTCAATGTTCAGGCTAATCGAGCTCATTAAGCTTCAGCTGGTTTTTGGCAGGGAGACAGATCAGCGTACGTTCGTCCTGTACTCACGATGTGTTTGCTGGGGCACTATGTGGGATCGGGTTGGAAAAAATTGGTCTTCACATGCCGGATTTGCATCAAAAAGTCAAACAGCAGAGACTGCTGAAAGCAGGAGTATTTGTCATTAGAGCGATTCCATTACAGTACCCTCCACAATTCAAACTTGACTTTTATTTTTTTACTGTGCCAGAAATGTAACCCTGTAAAAGCCATTAAACCCACTCTGTTGAAAAGAACCATATCCCTATCTGGACAGGAGCTGCAGCCAGGCAGAGTGTTGCTGCCCGACTCTGCTCCCCCCTGAGAAGGACATCCAGTGACTCCAGCATTAATTGGTATCTCAGGTGTATCCAGCAGGACACCCTGCATCTTCCTGACAGGAGACGGTATCTTTGCCTCTCGGTCACTGTCCCTATGTGCTGATGTAACAGAAGACCCCATTCCCTGGCAGGACATATGCCACTGGCTGGACTGTCAGGCACATCCTTCAGGATGTGGAGGAGTCCATCTGACATCAGACCAAGGCAAAAAAAGGAGGAGCTGATGTAACAGCACCTGCAGGAGTCCTCAAGGAAATGCATGCCAGCCCTGCGGGGGTCAGACTTTTTCCACTGACTTTTTTTTTTTCCCCCCATAAGACAACACTGGATGATTCATCCCCACATCAGGCTGGGAAAGCCTCCTCTGCTCAAAAGCAGAGAAGGGTAAGATGAGAGAAGGCACTTCAAGCAAGGTTCTGCAGGGGCACAGACAATTTCTGAGTATCTGCACTCTCTCTTACTCCTCTGTTGCCATCCTTCCCGTGCCTGTTGAAGGAAGAAGCCCTTTGTACTAGAGTTGCTGCAGAGCCTTGAGTACCATCCTTGCCAACAGAAACAGGCCACAGAGCAGTGCTGAACAGAGCCCAAGGAGTGCAGTTCACCAGAACTTCGTGCTAGTCTTAACCACTGAAAGGCTGGGCAATGACTCCATTTAAGGCATCTATCCACTCCCTCTGCTCCCTGTCGTTCTCACACATAAACACAAACTCTCTCACTGGCGTGACCACAGTGATTGCTGGTTTCCTCTTCTTCACCCGGACTCCCTGGGGCAAGCCAGCTCGTACTTCATATCCCTCATCCATCCTTCCAATAAAAACCTGGCCCTGTGCAAATGCATCCTAGAAAGAAGGAAGCAGAAGACAGCCATTAGCCAGTGATAGCGCAGCTCCAGCAGACGCTGTTCTATCCTTTGACATGGAGCAGAGGCTGGGGATGCGTGAAGGGGACACTGATTTGGTGACAGGCAGCAGAAACACACACGGCGCTCTTTGTACACTCAGGGACATTCTCGGGAGGAGGAGGTATGGACCCACCCTTGCAGAGCTGGTTGGTGGGTGTTCAGAAGGAGCAAGGAAGGATATTCTTGTGGCTACAGCAGTGCTGGGAAGCACAGAATCAGGGCTGCCAAGCCTCTGTTATTGGTCTATTGCTCTTCTTGCCCACGGTTACAGGCACAATGGCAACAGGGCTGGGAGAGAGCGGGCTATAACCACTACAGGCAGTAGTGGCTACTTTTAAAAGACTTAGATCTTCCTCACAGCCCTTGCAAGGGCCAGAGTTCCTGAACAGCTCAGCTTCAAAGAGACCCACTGATAAGGGAGATGAGCTCTTGAGACTGAGCCTGCTTCAGTCCTGCACAGCCACTGGAAGAGCTGGATGAGAACAGACCCTTCTTCCCCACCCAACTTCATGAAGGGCCTTGTGGAATAGCAAAGAACACTCCTCTTACCAGGGGATTTTTAAAGTACATCAGGTTCCTTTCTTGAGAATCCAGGCAGAACCAGCGCACCTTAAAGGCCTCCTTCTGCTGCAAGGAGATGGTAGAAGTTCTTTAAAGACCAGGTCCCAAAGTGGAGTTTGGCCTATTCAAAGCAGATCCCTGGACTGCTCAAATGACTTGGAGCTTGAGTTCAGCTTCATTCATCCCTGCAACAGGCGAGTTACTGCTGTGTGCAGCTCTCAGCTCCCTTCTCCCCAGGTTCATGCTAGAGATCTGCATTCAATGACAATCCTTTGGGGAAGGCAGGGAAGTTTGGTTCTACCAGTGATTGAATTACCAGGATTAAGGAAGTTGCAGCAAATGAATTAATTGAAAGCACTGCAGAAAACGATCCTTAGGCCAGTGGCTACAATGAGGAGAACGTGCAAATCAGTTTCAACATTTTGGTTTGAGGGGATATCCCTAGCACTGAGGGACGCACAACGGTAAGGACAAATTGTAGGTTTTTAAAAAAGTGATAATTCCATCGGTGACACTCATCTGACCATTCCCTGAGCTACTCATTGCTCCGTGCTGAACTGAAGGGTCCTCTTCTAGGGCTCGCTTCAGTTTGAGCAGAATTTAGGCCTCAGGAGAAAAACACACAATCTCTCATGCTTGTAGCTGTGAGTATTCTCTGTGCAAGTACCTGCAGGAAGATGTAGTGCCAAACCCCCAGCTTATTCAGTATCAGCATTTCACCACTGAACTTTTAATGGGACTTTGGCTCATGGTTCCCTCAGAGGAGAACAAAACAAGAAGCAGCAATGTTCAAAGATGACCTCAGATCTTTATCTCCTCCCTCAGCAGAGCCTGAAATCTCCCTCTCCTGTTCCAAGGAGTAGTGGCCCAAATACTTTCCCACAAACCCCAAACCAAACCATAGGCTTCACTGTGGAGAATTTGCTCAATCGCACTTTGCTGCTATAAGCACATGTGACTTCTGTGCTACTGACTTTAAGAGAAACAGGGAAGTAGGGGAGTCACCATGTGATGTTCTGTTCCAGCAGGAGCTGCAGTTCTAGAGCTGCAGTTAGCAGATACAGCAATCCATTCAGTGTTGCATAACAGGACTTTGCATGTCCACTTCCAGCTAACCCATCTTGCTTACTCTTCAAGGAGGATTCTTCTTGCCAGTCTTATTTTCCAGACAAAATAAAACATGATCCCAAAGAACATGACTGGCTTGAATATAAGGTCTTTTTTCAACCCAGGAAGCATATACTCACTCAACAAGTCATTTACTAGTAAACATCATAGAGTCATCAAATATTCTCTACATGGAATAATCCTGTTTGTGTACTGCCAAGTATGCACTTACTTTTGGTCCTGTTTTCTCCATGTATCCTTCTTTGACATAATTTCTTGTGATCCTAGGTATGAGCTAGGAGAACACAAACACACACACAATAAAGTCTGTCTCATTCAAGCTTGGTTTTCTGTTCTGTTTCTTTCAAAGCTAATCACCATAAATTTTGGCTCTTGGGGCCTGGGTTTTTTTTAGCTGCTCAGTAAAAGGAAGTCTGAAATAAGAAGGAACATAAAATTTCTGAAAGATTACACTTTAAAAGGACCACACGGAGACTTCTTGGCCTTAAATAATGACTACGTTTTTGCATGTTATCCAGTGTGGCCTTTCCTTCTACCTGTCCATTCCCAAGACCCATATGCTGCTGTTTGAGCACCTGACTCTGGCATAAGAAGGGAGAAAAAGTTTTCCCATGCTATGTTTACACAGACCGCTTCAAGCCTTGTTCAGTGCTCACCTCAGGCTCAGGGACAGCTGGGAAGGTTGTTCTGAGGTAATGGTAACGCGCTGCCCGAATGGCATTGAACCAGTCAACAATCTCCTACGGAAAACGGCAAATACAAACATAAAGACAAGAATAACAAGGAGGAGTAAGATTGCTGCCTCTGCAACATGCCTTTTGCCTTCCTTGTAACCTCTCTGTTAAGATGTACTTTCTCCCCAAGAGGCAGAGAGTGTCAGTGACTTGTCTCAGACACCTGTAAAACACTGAGCCTTCAAAACAATATAAAAATGCCGCTACAGGGAGGTCCCAGACGTGCTCTGCATGGACAGTCACGCAAGTCTGCGTACCCAGGCTTTTTCAGTTGATTCAGTTTATTGATTGTTTAAAAATTTTTGTACCTGGAAAGACATGAGAACTACAGCAAGGGAAAAAACAGAAATCTAACACAACCTGTAGACATACTTCTTAAAACTATCGTTTGCTTGGAAATAATGCAGAACAATATTTTCTATGCGTGTCAAGAAGGCTTCAAAGAATATAACCACAGAAGTGTATAAAACCACTACACAGTTACCTTACAGAGATTTACATATGTGCCCCACTGAAGCCTTAAGACTACTCAAGGTGTGAAGCTGAATATATGCCTCAACAGAACAGCAGCAAGATGTTATAGTTATTAGTGTCAAATTCCGCAACTTTCTGTATTCTACAAGTCACAGTGACTTGTAGAATATAGAAAGTGACTATATATGGAATATAGAAGTCACTATATATGTAATGACTTCATATAGAACCACACCCTGCAGAAACAGGATATCTCTTCCGAATCATAGATCCAACGTCTAGGCATCTTACTTATTCCACAATCTCCATGCTACTCACCTTTCCACTTTCATGATAGACAAAAAGATTCCTTGTTTGACCATCTGTGTTGTACGTGATCTGCAGCCCATGAGCATGTTGGATTTTCTCCGTCTGGAACATTGCATTCAGATTCTCAATGTTGATAATGGCTTTTGGACCTCTGGACTGTGAATGAAAAGCATCACTGTATTCAAGTGCTCTCAGGGAAGGTCATGGAGGACAGATTAGCCGTATGAGAATTAGATTCCTACTGAAGAGAAAGCAGGCATCCTAAAATACCTGAATAGTGGATACACCTGAAATATAAAGCTTTAACTTCATGCTACATAAAATCACTTACAAAGAGTCACTCCCTTTCCTCGACAAATGCTGGGTCGCTCTTTGAGAGGGATGTGTTTGACTTGCAAGGGGTGGGTTTTACCTCCAGCCTTATAGCTGGAGAACCCTTAGCTACACTCTCTCACAGAAGGGAGACATGTTGAGGATGATGCTGCAGCAGTTGATGAGAGAGTATTTTGGTAATATAAGAAGTAACAGCTGCTAACAGATCTCTTCTTCATCTTGCTATGCAACTGCCAGTATCCATTTCCTTTGTTCACCAAGCAAAAAGAGACTGCAGGGTTAAGATAAGTGATAAGGAAAAGGGCTAAATCCAGAAGAGCAATTGCCTAAGATACCACATACGTTAATAGGGAAACATCTAGGCTGCTACAAACACAGGCTGGCCTGGCTGCAAAACTAGAGACAAAGGTATTTATGCCAATTTTTGCTGGTGAAGAGCAGGGTCTGAGGATGGATGTTGACCAGCTACCTAAAGCCAACTCTGGCTGAGGAACTCACTTCTTTGGTATAGTACTTCAACACCCCTTCCCTTGCTGATAGGAAAAATCGCCTCTTCTGGAACTGTCTGCTTTCCCGTCCACGCTTCCAGAGGAATCCTTCATGGCTACCTGCAGACCGGACCAAGATAAGTGTGAGAGAAGAGCAGCATAATAGCAGGACTCTATCTAAACCGTGATGCAGCACAGAGTTTCAAGTCTCTTCTCCACCTGAGAACTGTCAGCTCATGTGAAAAAATCAGTGGAGAACTAGAGAACTGTAAGATCTGAATACACCCTTGTGCTTGTCTAAGTGCCTTTTCTTAGGAGCGTCTTCTCAAAGTTAGACTCAAAGCAAGGCCTGCGCATCCAACAGTTCACATATGACAAACCAGCCTTAAAGATCTTCAAAACTGCAAACAGAACACTCTGCTGTTGGCCTTAAGGCTAACACTTTTTCCCTGACAATCCTAACTTTTACCTGCAGAACAAGGATCTTGGCAGACTCGGGTGGCAACAAATTCCTCACGCTCATATTTAGCTCTAATCCATTGCTCTCTTAAAACCCTGAAAGAGGAAAACATGGATAAAAGCTGATCTGCCTCTACTCTATGTTCACCAACCAACCAACGAGACCTGTAGAGGGAAGCAGTAGTTGAACAGCTGTAAAGGTCTGCAGCAGCGAATACACCATCAACTTACAAGCAATCACAGGACTGAGGGACGTAATAGTAGGGAGGGACTTTTGCCTCATATTTAGCTTTGGCACACAGATTCCCATGCTTCTTCATAAACTGAAATGCAAAAGAAATTACAGTTAGGTGTGCAACTACAAAATCAATACCATGTCATGAATATAAAATGAAACTTGTATCAAAGGGAGCACTGCACTTCTTGCTCAGTCTCGCCATAACTCTCAGTGCATTTCTACATATGTTTATAAATTCCCTTTGGCACTATAGTTTGCAGTTTTTAGGTGGAAGAGCCTCTTTCAGTATTTTCAGTTCTGAGCCAGGTAGGAAGGAACACAAGATTGTGGTTGTTGATTAAAAGAACAAAAGAAAATGAGAAGAAAAGATATTTACGATCTCCCTATACCTTCATCTCCTCCTAGACATTAACTGTGATTATATTATTAACACAATTCAATTGAAAGATGAGAGGTTGAACCAATATTTATTGACTGAGGAACAGAACACACTATCTGGAAATATCTGTGGGCTTCTAAACCACAGGGAGAGGTTACTGCGTGCTATAAAAAAAAATCACTGCAGGCTGACAGAAACATGATCACCTATCAGTGTAATTTGATTGAGTAGATCATAAAAACACCCCTAAAGTTACCCACGGAGTTAACTTGGCTCTGTGTGGCTTTGTTCCTCTGTCCATGATGGACAATGTAAAAGCTATGAGGCAGAGGAGGCTATGATGAAACGTGGAGAAAAGTAAGCAAATTACTGCGTTTTCCTCTGTACCTCTATAAGATCGTTCTCCCAGAAGTCAAGCCGAAGGGATTTGACCCTGCTGATTTGAGGAAGATTGCGGTGGATTCCAGAGCAGTTCAAACAAATGAATATTCCAAGTTTGTAAGAAGCCCACTCTGGATCTAGGCGCAAAGAGAGAACGAACCAATACATGGGAGAAGGCACAGCCACAGGCAAAGGCAAAAAAGCACATCTGACGCCCAGCCCAGGCTTCACACGTCAGACATCAAATCCCACTCCACTGTGTATGGCTGTCACTTCACTGCGTCCAGAGGAATAGCACCCGCTGCCTTCGTAGTCTCCTTCACCGCCTGTTTCTTTACAAATGAACGCGGCCGCGCAGGCAGCCGCGCGGTGATGTAAAAGCCCAGCTAGTTATTAGTTCTGCACGGAAGGCTGCTGCTGGACTAACGGCGGAAGGAAGGAAAGATGCTGCAGACAGCGAGCGCTACTGCCAGCACCCCGGGCTCCCGCTCCCGCTGCGGCCCCGGCGCTCGGAGGCGTCCCGGGGACTCGGGC